AATGCCCAGCCCGTCCCGAGCCGCGAGCAGTCCCCGAGCCGCGATCAGTCTCCCCGCAATGCGAGCAGTCTCCCCCCGACCGACCGCCTAACTCCCCCCGAGCATGACGTTATATGGTATGGAATAGCTCTTTGGACAGTTTGGGTTAGCTGTCCTAGCTGTGCTGTACTCCCAGCTTGTTATGCACCTGGCCAAGCAGGAGAAGCTCAAAAAGTCCTTGAGTAGTCTGAGCACTACTTGGCAACAGCTGAAAACATCAGTGTGTTATCAACATTCTTCTGGTACTGAATCCAAGACACAGCACTATGCTAGCTTCTATGAAGAAAATTAACTCTATCCCAGCCGAAACCAGGACAAACATACAGAAGGTTCACAAAATAGTATTTATAAGCCAGCCTACACTAAAATGTGAATAGTTCAACTCTGGTTTTGCATCATAGGGCAAAGATGAGAAGATAAATAACAGGATTTGCTGCAACCGACTTCTGGCAAATGTTGCATATAAAAGAAAATAGATTTCCTCACCAGTTATGCACAATAACCCAGTACCATCCCTTCAACTCTCAAAAAACCCCTCTTAAAAAACCTAGATATATTAATCTGTTAGTTCAGCAGCATTACAGCACACGGCTTGAACACTCAGAAAGGCTGACACAGGAGGCCAGCAGAGCTCACCTGGAGGCTGCCAGGAACGCCCCCGGTCAGTCAGGGCCTGGGCTGCCGGGGTCCCCCCTGTGCAGCCACAGCAGGATAGGAACAGGCAGTTTCAGGGGTACTGTTCCTTTTTAAAACCCAGTGGTCAAATCCTGTACAGTGGTGGAAGTCCAGACTGTTGGTGTCCTATTAAATCAAAATTCCCACCAGCAGCTGGCGATGGGTGCGCTAACTTTTGAGGAGCACTGCTCAGCGTAACAGGCCTTTGAAGTCTTCCAGTGCTGTTTTAGCATTCATCCCATCCCTCCTCCCTCTCAAATGAGCCATATATGATTTATAGCTCATTATCAGAGTTCGACTTTGAAGTAGAAGTCGTAACAAGCACTCCAGATCATCCCAAATATAAAAAGGAAAGAACATGTGAAAGATTTAAAAAGAAAAGAAGAAATGCCAACAGTCTAAAGATGAAACGGCAAAGTCATTCTTCTGCCAGCCGCTGGGGGGGGGGGGGAGTACCGGGAGGAGGGGAAGTAGGGCACGGAGCAGCTACCTGTCGATCCG